TTTATTAGAATTTTTTATTTAACAGAATTAACTAAAAAAATAAATTTCATAATTATTCTCCTATATAATAATAAAATTACCTAAATTATTAATCTTGAGTTAAAATACTTCTAAATTGGACTTATCAATAAAAATCCCTTCTTTAATTGTCCCCGAATTAAATAGGCTTCGTATGGGTAAGAGCATCTGCATCCGTCTCAGTAAATTTTTAGTCATATTATAATTGAAAAAGTTATTTTTATATTTTAGTTAGTCATTCATTGCATCAAACTCTTTATTTTAACTCAATCCTATTAAAATATTTGTTATTCTTTTTTTTTATAATTAAATTGATGACCTATCAACCAAATAATTCTTATGTTTTACAAAAGATAAAATTGGAGGAAATGTAAAAAAAAAATAAATAAATAAAATAAAATAAAATAAAATTTGCCATTGACCGGTTGACAGGCCGGATGTCCGGCCGGACGTCCAATTACACCCAAATCGCGTGTTATAGCGATGAACAGTTCCTCGCTTCATCAGACGAGTTATTGTAGCAAATTTAACAAAAATTTGCTGAGACTGATGGAGGAAGAATTTGATGATTTGTTAGTTATATTTTAACTTTTTGTTATTTTAAAGATACTGATGCTGATGCTCTTAGCTATTATAACTAGTATTATCATATCTTAGTTACTCCAATAAGCTAACTGTTATAATAGTTATTTTAACAAAATTTTTCAAGACTAATTATGTATGAAGCGTTTTGAAAGACTCTTTAAATAGTTTGGGTGTATAAATAGATATGATAAAAAGTAACATGAATTTGCTTGGTTCCATTTTTCCAAAAACACTTTTCAGAAAATTTTATTTTCTTATTTTCCGTATTTTTTTTGTTTTTGCTAAATTTTTTAAATATTTTAAGTAATTTTTTTTTTTACTTTTTAGACATAGCTAACATAAATATACCTAAAAAGTAAAAAATTTGTGAAAAAAATCTTTTAAAAATTCACTAAATACCAAAAATATAAATTAAAAAAAAACAAGAATTTAGTATATTTTTTTGTATTTTTATGTATTTTTTAATTGTTTAAAATATTTTTTTCACAAATTTTTACTTTTTAAATACATCTAAGTAAGGTGCATCTAAAAAATTTTAAAAATTGTTTAAAATTTTAAAAATATTCACTAAAAACAAAAAAACACGAAAATCAAAAAACTCAATTTTCAAAAAACTTAATCTAAAAAACTCAAACTAAACACACTAAATGTTTTTTTTCTTTGGGGAATAGAGAGAGAGAAATGGAGTGTTACTATACCATGCTATAAAGCTGAGCATGCATGCTTAGTATAACCAAGTTCCCTTTTCTTTTTTCATTTGGAAGTAAAATCAAGTGATTCATATTTCAAATACGAGTTCGGATCATCTCCTTGCAACTCCTCCTTACAACGGCTGAGATCAGCCGTTGCACATCCAACGGCCATAATAAATTTAAAAAGAAAAACAAAAATTCACTTTCCCGCCCAAGACAAAACACAGCCTATACACAGATTTTCGTTTAGAATCAGAAGCACAAAAACACACACTCATTCCTTGTTCTCCGTCGAACCCACCCTAGCCGGCAACCCAATACCGGTGGCGATCTAGTCTCAACGCCGTTGCAAGAACCGACGACGGTGAAACCAAAGGTTAGTTCCCCTCTATCTCTGTAATCAGATGTTTGCCAAAATCGTGAAACCAGAACCATATATATCATCTATTTGAATCAGTTTGACATTCATTTTTGACGCGTAGTGGAGATTGAATTATGCCAGTGATTTCTTATCTTAGATTTTTCTACATAAAGTGAAACCACGCTCTGTCTCTGTAAATTTGAGGTTTGCCAAAATCGTGAAACCAGAGCAATGGATGCACAATGATTTTTAATGCAAATGATTTCAGAAATTGAAAAGATAATTTTTATTATGGATGCACAATGAGTATACATACTATTAAAGATATTCTGCATACTATGGATGCACAATGAGTATACATACTACGCATACTATTAAAGATAATTTTTATTATGGATGCACAATGAGTATACATAGCTAAGATATTCTGCATATTAAAGATATTCTGCATTAATACATACTTATTCTGCATTAATGTATTATGTGCACTAAAGATATTATGCAGAATGAGTATACATTAATGCAAAATGAGTGTACATTAATGAGTGTATTATTACATTAATGAACATAATACATTAATTCAGAATGAGTATACATTCAATTATGCAGAGTAATGCAGAATGAGTATACATTAATTATGCTAACACACACTGTCATGTGCATCCATAATTGAATTATGCCAATGCATTATTCTGCATATTAAAGATATTCAATGTAAATGATTTCAGAAATTGAAAAGATAATTTTTAGACTTGCCAAACCCTGTGTATTTATTATTAAAGATATTTAGTTTTGATTTCTTGTTTCTTTATCCAAGTGTGACAGTAAGTTCTTTGATGATAGTGCAGATATTGTGTTTTTTTATGTGGCTAAGATTTTATTTATGTAGCTAAGATTTTATTTATATGGGTTTTCAGTTGCATTTTCATATGGATATGGAACCTGAGAATGATTGTGCTTGGAAGCCAAAATAGGGAATGACATTCGATTCGGAACAATGTGTGTATGATTTTTATAATACATATAGAGGAAGAATGGGGTTTTGCATAAGAAGGGATTTTTGTAGGAAGAACAAGTTCACTAACCAACTTATTTGTAGACTTTTGGTTTGCAACAAGGAGGGATTTTGGAAGGTTGACAAACGAGACCCATTGGCAAAAAACTCTAGAGCTGAAACTAGGACTGGTTGTGAGGCTCGACTTTATGTTAAATTAGATAAGGGTACCGAGAAATTTGTTGTGACTGATTTCAAAGAAAAACACAACCATGATCTTGTATCACCCGAGTGCGCCCACATGTTGCCGTTACAAAAAAAGATATCGACTGCCCAAGCAATTGAGTAAGATTTGGCGGCACAATCTGGTTTTCGTTTAGGCCAGTCTTTTGAACTCATGGGTAGGGAAACTGGTGGGAGGCAATGTCTTGGGTTTACAAAATTAGATCAAAAAAATTATTTGAAAACCAAAAAACAATAAAGTTTAGCATATGGGGAAGTAGGCAATGTGTTGCAATACTTTAAAAAAAAATCTTTGCAGAATCGTTCATTCTTTTATGCTTTCCAGTTAGATAATAAGGAGCAAATAACGAATATGTTTTGGACCGATGCACAAATGATCATGGATTATGCCCAATTTGGTGATGTTATCACATTTGATACTACTTACAAGTTAAACAAAAAACATAAACCCTTTGCATCTTTTGTGGGATTCAACCATCATAGGGAAACAATCATATTTGGTACAGCCTTGTTGTATGATGAGACCGTTGAATCATTTGTATGGTTGTTTCAAAATTTTTTAGAGGCTATGTCAGGAAAGGCACCAAAAACGTTGTTCACTGATCAAGATGCTGCAATGGCTAAAGCCATACCCATCGTTATGCCTGACACAAGCCACTGATTGTGTACTTGGCATTTGATGCAAAATGCATTAAAGCATATTAATTGTTTGTTCCAAGATAAAGGGGGTAAAGGGTGTATTAAATAAATTCTTCTTTGACATTGAAGATGCAAATCAATGGAAGTTAGAGTGGGCGGAAATGCTTGATAAATATGATGCACATGAAAACCATTGGTTGAAATTGACTTTTGCGGTGAAAGAAAAATGGGGATGGCCATATGTTAGATCAACATGGGCTGCGGGAATGAGTACTACACAACTTAGTAAATCTTTTAATGCTTTTTTGAAGGATTACATTCGTTCTGATTTTAACTTAAATGAATTCTTCATGCATTTCGAAAGGGTACTTTACAAGAAGCGATACAAGGAGTTAGAAGCAGGATATGCTTTGTGCCAAAGATTGCCAAAGGTGAAAGCAACAATAAGAATGTTAATTTAAATGGGTAATGTCTACACAAAAAAGATATTTGAGGAATTTCAAAATGAGTACTTTCGATCCATTGAATCGGATATAGAAGCAATTGAATATGACGAGGCTAGTACCATTTACACAGTTGTTGATGTTGGTAACAAACATGCAAGGAAAGTGAAGATGGAGAGGGATGGCTCTTTGGGTTATAATTGTACAAAGTTTGAAAGGGAAGGAATCTTGTGTTGTCACTCATTGAAGGTTATTAGAGACATATTGAAGATGAAAGAGGTTCCTCCACAATACATTCTAAAGAGGTGGACCAAACAAGCAAGAGCCGAAACTGTGAAGGACATTAAGGGGAATGACATTCAAGTAGATGTGAAATTCCAACAAGCCTCGCAGTATAAGACATTGATGACCATATTTAGAGCACTAGCAAGTAGAGCTGTTGAAACTGAAGAAACTTATGATTTTTGTATTGCACACCTTGCTACATTAGGTACAAATGTTGAAGGCAAGTTAAGTGCTCATTTTGGTGTTGGAAATAAAGTAAGTAATGATGATGACACCCAAAGCTTTGAAGTGGATTGCGAATATGTAAATCATGTTGTGCAACCAAAAGGATTGAAGAAAAAGACAGCAACTAGTAAGGGCAAAATGAGGGTAAAAGGTGGATTCGAAGCAACGTTGGTAGCGAACTCCAAAAAAAATCCCGTGCTAACAACTTGGCTTCGTCACAATCTATTGCAAGTCCAACAGTTGCACCTTCTCCATTATCTGTTGGAGGAGATATCTATGTTCGTCAACATGTTCCTTATTTTCAACCTCTTCCTCTTCTTCATCATCTTCCTCCATCTTTGCCCATGGGTGGTAATTTTATTCCTCCGCCATTGATGTATCCCACATATCATGTTAGTACAATCTATGTATTTTTTGTGTGGATATAATATGTGACTCAAACCATGATTGCGAAGCCTAATATATGACATTGTTGTAGGCGAACAATTTGCGGGAGATATATGTAGTGCAAAATTCTTTGCCAAATTCAATGCCTCAACGGTATTCTGCTCAACCAACATTCCAGTCACTACTTCAAGGTTCATGTGGATATGACATTGGGTTTCGATATTCTCAAGAATCAAACAGTCCAATGTGTAGTTAAGTTTGTCCTTGCTGTCTTTTTAATTTGTAGTTGCTGAAAATTCTGAATTTTTAGTTGCTGAAAATTCTATTTAAAATATGTATGTAGTTGCTGAAAATTGTGGAAAATTCTATCTTTTTCCATTTTAGGCTATGAACAAGCACAAAGACAAGCAAACTGAAGCTGAAAGTGGCCTGGAAAGTGAAGTCATAACAACTCAAATTGTGAAGCAAACTGCTACTGGAAAGTGATGTTGCTGCACAAATTGTGATGTTGCTGGAAAGTGAAGTAATGACTTGTATGTGTATTAAATGCCTTGCTGGCTGGAAAGTGATGTTGAAATTGCTGTTCAAACTCCAGTCCAATGTGTGTTCAAATTGTGTTAAAAATGTGTGTTCAAACTGCTGTTGTATGTGTGTTGAAATTGTGATGTTGCTGGAAAGTGAAATAATGGCTTGTATGTGTGTTCAAATGGCTTGCTGGAAAATTCTGTGTACCTTTATGTATGTTAATGGCTTGTATGTTGGTGCCAATGTTGGTTCTGGTTCTGGTATGCGAATGATAGAACCATACATGTTAAACCAAAATGTGTTGCTGGTTCTGGTCTGGATCTGTTGTTAAACCAAAATGTGCCATACTGATAAATGGTTCTGCTATAGCTTTATGTTGCTGCCATACTCATAACCATAACATGCTAACAAAACCAACATGTATACCAGATCCAAAACCAACATGCTGTTATCTGTTCTGCTGGTTTTGCTGTCATCTGGTTCTGGTATGCTGGATCTGCTGCTAGAACCATAACATGTTGGTGCTAATGTTGGATCTGGTATGCTGCTGTTAAACCATAACATGTTGGTGGTACTGTCATCTGGTTCTACTAGAGCTTCATGCTGCTGCCATATTCAGAACCATAACATGCTAATAGAACCAACATGTATACCAGATCCAGAACCAACATACTATTATCTGTTCTGCTGGTTCTGCTGTCATCTGGTTCTGGTATGCTGGATCTGCTACAAGAACCATAACATGTTGGTGCCAATGTTGGATATGGTATGCTGCTGCTGTTAAGCCATAATATGTTGGTTTTGCTAGAGCTTCATGCTGCTACCATACTTAGAGCCATAACATGCTTGCTAACAGATAGAACCATAACATGTTTGCTAACAGATAGAACCATAACAGATAAACTTAATGGATAAACTTAAGTAAGTAATGATGATCATCATGCTGCTGGCATACTCAGAACCAGTTGAGGCCACATGTTCCCTAAAATAAACTTGCTAACAAGTTAGGCCCCATGTTTCCCAAAAATCATTCAATCATTCATTTCATAATAGATAACAAGTTGAATGTTTCCCAAAATTCATTCCATCATTCATTCCATAACAGATAACAAGTTGAGAGAAATCAACAAATGTTAATTCATTCCATGGTTCATTCCATAACAGATAACAAAAGTTACATCATGAAGTACATAAAGCCCAAAATGTTTCCCAAAATACATAAACATAAGTTACATTATGAAGTACATAAAATCCAAAATGATACAAACTTCCATTCAGTTTCCCAAAATACAATAAAGTACAAAAGTTATATCATAAAGTACAAAATAATAGAAAATACAGTGAAATACACCATCGCTTTGATATTATTTTCCATCATTTGAAGCCTTCGACCATAGTCATTTTTCATGTAATCAAGCCTCGTCCTTACACTGTAAAAGTCTTCTACTTTTATACCATCACAAGCTGTACTATTGGAACGGATTCTAGACGTAACGTCTTCATCATCTTCATCTACGAACTTGAAGTAATTGCAATGGGGAGTGGGAGTGTTACTCTACAATGCATGAGAATCAGTTAGTTGAATAAGACAAATATTAATGTGACTACTAAAAGAAGAAATTTTCCAATACAAACTTGCATATTTTGATGGGCAAACAAAGAACAAACGCCTTTGATTTCCATTTTCATTGGTTGACAACGGTTCTTCCACAATTGCACAGCCTCGGTTGTAATTTAATGTTGCTAATGTTAAAAGAAGAAGCCATTTTTTAAATCTGCATACATGAGAACTTTTTTAAATGGCAGATCCATAGATGAGAGGGACAGAGTGTGAAGGTTGGTTTATCTTGAACTAGTTTTTCCATTGCTTCAATTAAAATAAAGTTGTTATAGTACCTGGTTTATCTTGAATTGCTTCAAGTAAAATAAAGTTCCCTCACATTTAATTTTTCATAATTCATGTTGCTATAGTACTTGGTTTATCTTGAACTACTTTTTCCATCAGCTTATTTGTAATATCTAGGTTACTTTTGTTTGTTTAGCAACATCCTTTCCAAGTTAGTTTGACTACAGACATAAATGCTTTCTATTTTTCTTTCAGAGACAACCACAGAATTCTGGAATAAATAATTTAATAACAGTTCAATGTGAGCCTGCGCAGCTAAATGTAACATCAAAAGACCACAAACCATTAATACTTCATAATTCTTTATTTTGTCAATCAGATTTGGTTTCATCAGAAGCAAGCTATCCAATGAAACCAACAAAAAGAATCGATCACTTCAAATGCTAACAAAAGGAGTAAACTAATCCTTCACATAAAAAACAAAAACTTGGCCTCCAAAAGCCTTATCGACTCTATTATTAACATAATCTACCTACTTCTTTACCTATTTGAATGAGACTACATTAATGCTTAAGTAGTGCAACTGGTCCAGTGTTCAACAAATGCATATAATGTTGTAGAGATTAGTTACTAACCAGAAAATGATAAAGTGGAGATATAACAAAAATAAATGAGAAGAGGAAGCAAGACAATGAAAACAAAACTTAAGTTCAACTATAATTAGTTTTTCAACTATAATTTGGAAACTTAAGTTCAAACTAGTGTCATGGATATAATTTCACAGGAACTCTACAACAATTCTTTACAAAATCAAGTAGAAAATTAATCAATTTGACAAACAAATTCATCCAAAACCCACAAAATCTCAGCCGAAACTATGAAAGACCTAATTTTTGTCACTGTGAAAGCCCTAATTTTTTTCACTGTCAAAGCCCTAATTTTTCACTGTTCTAATCCCAAATCAAAGCCCTAATTTTGAAATTTCAAATATATTTTGTCAATCTCAATCACATAACCATAACTTCTTAATTTTAAAGTTTCGAATACAAACCTGGTTCCTCTATGGCTTCAGCACCCACGTTCTCATCAACAAATTTAATCGCTCAGCCGATGGTGGTCGCGGTGGAGCTATGGTTCACGAAACAGAGAATATTAGGGCTAGAGTGGGTCGTCGGTGCCATCTGGGGACTGGTCACCGGTGAGGGTGGGTTCGGTGGAAGAGGACGGGTGAGTGCAAGGCTGAATGAAATATAGCTTGGGTGAGTGATTGTGCTTCAATGTATAACTATAGCAACGCACAGAGATAAAGTG